GGGTGGGGGTGTGGGTGTGGGTGGGTGTGGGTGTGGGTGTGGGTGTGGGTATGGGTGTGCGTTTGGGTGTGCGTGTGAGTGTGGGTGTGGGTGTGGTTGGATGTCCTTACGGGTGCGGATGTAAATGTGGATGGATGTGAGTATCGGTAAAGTTGTGTTCTGAATAATAATTTAACTATACTCATACTCTCGCACACCCACACCCACACCCACACCCACACCCACACGCACACCCATACCCACACCCACACCCACACGCACCCACACCCCACCCACACCCACACCCCACCCCACCCACCCACCCACATCCACCCACACCCCACACCCACACCCACACCCACACCCTCAATCTTTCAATATTTGCTGTCCTAAATGCATATGAACTCATTGTATTATCAAACTCAACTGACATTTCTTCGAGATTTGGTACATATTCAATAAGATTTTCAAAAAAAACATGTTTGATTAAGTCGAATATGTAAACGATGAAGAGTTATACAACAAGATTGAAGTTGATATTGAATAGAATTGGAAGAGTGATAAGAGTTTGATGGAAAACAATGATGAATAACACCATCCCTAAATTCGTTGCTAATATCAAGTCGAAGAGATTTTAATTTACATTGAGTAGAAAATAATTGACAGAGAAGTTGTTTGATCATGGTCAGTTGTTTTTCTATTGTTTATCAAAGAAAAATAAAAGAGAGAAAATTTTTTTTTTCTGTGAAATATTCTTTTTTAATTTTAGATTTAATTATATTAAGCTCATATTTACAAAATCTCATTCTTTTTCTGATTGATGAAAATATCAAATATTGAAACTAAACATAGACAAATAATAAAATAAATTTTATTATATTTCTGTTATAACAATTGGTTGATGTTTTAATGAATAAATGATTAGAATATGTTTAAGAGAATCGTCAGATACCATTGACAACGAACGAGAATTTTTTCATAATGGCATACGAATTATTCACATGTAATATTTGTTTTGCATAACAAGAAAACAATGAATTATTAGTATTGAATGTTTTTACTTATCTATATCTTATTTAATTGGATGTATTGTGGCAAGAGAAAAGCTAAGTTGACTCGTGATCCATATTCCTGTATTCTACAGCTAGGTGACCATTTTTTACTAGATTTTCACTGAGTAATAATGATTGTCAACAATTATCAAATATAGATTTTTATCTAAAAGTTTTCTCGAAAATAAATCTTATTGTTTGACATCTAAATAGTCTTCGTTGTTTCAGTGAAAGAATTTATTTAGGATGTAAATGATCTCAATTGAGGATGATCTCTTCAAGACAAATAATCCTATCTTATTTTATAGAATCTTTCAAATAAATGATTGATTACCTTTATTAGAAGCCACTGACAAATCTTTTTTTATATAATAAAACTGGTTGAATACGTGTTCATCAAATATTAATGTAAGTTCATCTAATTGATGTTTAATAAGATAAAATAAACTTTGAACTACTGGTTCAATTGAGCCACATCGAATGAGAATAAGTGATTTAAGATTAGGAAAACGAAGAATATTTTTATCATCAAATAACCATTCATAGCTAAAATCACAAGAAATTGAATTTGTGTCATCAAAATGAATGCATTGAATAGAAGAGGAAAGAGATGATGATTTTAAAATCAATGGAAATAATATTGAACAACACGTATTATAAGATAAACCATGTGTAATAAAAAGACCACTGTTCAATCGATTGTCATTTATCGAAAGAATTGAACATACAAGAGAATTAAAGCGAATATTAAATGACCATAAAGATGTTAACATATCGAACCATTCAAAATAAGAAAATATATAAAGAAGAATTTCATTAGGTAATGTTTCAAATCTAGTTACCATTTTATCTAAAATGAATGATATATTATATACTTTTCTTTTTATAGGTTCGATCACTATTAATCATCAATAAAATGACTGGTACACAGGGGACAACAACGTGGACATTTGGTGAAAAAATGAAAGTGATTCTTTTTTGTGATTTGAACAATGCTCAATATTTTTTTCATAAAAATTTTTTATTCGAACTCTTTAAAGCATTGAAATAGTATTAGACTCAAAAAATGGCAAGATTTCTGTCATCTGAGAGGAAAGTATCTGTTTCCAAAGAAAGTAGAAAGGTCTAAGAAATAAATCATAGAGGTTCTGAAATTCAAACTTTTGCTCTATCTTTCTATAAAAAGAAACTTTGCTCTAACACTTTTCCTGTTGGAAAAAATATGCATTCTTTCTCAACCTAGGATTTTTCGAAAAGACATGTTAAGTGTAGTGGGTGTGCACACTTTAGCAAAGCTTCAAATTTGATGAAACTTTCACAGAATGTTTTTCGCTACCTGACACGTCGGCTCAGTTAGTGTAAAGATTTCTGAATGTAGTTTGAGGTTTTACAAAAACACCCTTGGTTTTTCATGATCTTCTGGTTTTCAAAGTGCTTTTAAACAAAAGTGATGACATATTAGAAATCAACGTGAACAACTGCACCGACTGATATATAGTTTATTAGTTTTTCAAGTAAAAAATTTTTTTAAGATTTCACATTTTCTATGAAAAAATACGATTTCGACAGAAAATAAGTCATGTTCATGTGCTCTATAGAAATTATCCACTATGTGGTGTAACGAAATAAAAACAAAAAAATGATATTCATTTTAGAAGTTTACATCAATATTACTAAAGTTTAAATAGTGTTTACTTAGATTAAAAGATGATTTAAAAATAAAAAGTCCTATAAGTCTTGAAAGATCAGTGAGCACGACATTTTGATGAATAAGTATATCTTTGTTTTTCGTCATTTCGACTTTATATAAATATATGAAATCAATACTTTCGATCTTATAACTTTATCAATTCAGCTGTTGATTTGATTACTGTACTAGAATAAAAGAAAATTTTTGTTGTACAGATATATGAAAGAGTAAATAACTATTTTCAATAACGACGAGAAATTAGTAACTTATGTTGTTTAACTCACTGTTAACCCACACTGTATATATTGCAGTAAAAAATGTCACCTTTTTTTTCCTAGCACACATTGTACACCATATATTATTTGTTGCTCAAGGCTAATAGATTACAAGATGCAGCCATATGTGTATACTTCCTCGCTGATATAACACGACAACGTCCGAATAAACTGAATCGTCATGAATAGAAAACAAAGAGAGGACATTAAACTTAGCTCCACTATATTTGAAATAACATATTTTAAGGATTATATTCCTAGAAGAATATTTTCCACTGACTGTCGAATAACTATACACTGAATCAATCCACATAAGTCACTAGTTTTCTCTTTATTACAGACATTTGATCTATGATCGCATTGCATATGGATAGAAAAAGTTTATACAACGAAAATTTGAAATATTTTAAACATTATATCATAACAAAGCTTTCTTAAATGTTTCTTAACTGCATAAATGTTTCAGAATGCCTGGATATCTTGTTAATCAGAGTCTATAATGAAAATTGTCACCCTTTTTGTTTCCTACTTGCAAAGGCAAAGTAGAACTTAATAAAATTCACTTATTCAATATTAGTCTCGCATCTTCAAGATTCGATACTTCAATATTAATTTCTATATTACACTTGAACAAGAGAATTTTTTTCCGGTTTCCATTTTAATAATAAGTTCAGACTGATGGCAGTTTCATTACTGTTAAAGTCATCTAAATAGAAGCACTGTCAAAGTACAAATAAAATTAAAACGATAAACGATTAGTTTATTTCAATAGTATTAAGATAATGAAGAAAGACATAATCTTTGGTTGTTTAAGTACATAATTCTAGGACCGTAGCCAAGGGGTGCTTATGCACCCTCCTTCGAAAAGAAACACCTGGAGGAGAGTACAGAGCTAAAAAAAAATTATTCGCAGTATCAAACATTTTCTCCATTGATGTGCATCCCGCTTAGAAAATTTCTGGCTACGGATCTGCATAATTTTTCTATCTTAACTAAAATAAAGCGTAAATAAATACAAGAAAATAAGTAGAGATCATCCTAAAGTATTTTATTTCGTCTAATATACGAGTACTGTTATAGTTGTATGTCAATATCCGCTATATAGAAAAAAATCTCATTTCTTTCTTATGAACTGAACAAATTCGACGAAAAAAGTGGCATTCGGTCAATACAGAGAAATGTTTTAACGTTCGTCCATCTAACATTAGATAAAATGTTCTTATTCTTTTTTCTTGCTGTGTTGACTGCAGCATAGCTGCATATTTTAATTTTTGACGTACAGAAAAGAAAGAAAATAAATATGATTTAGAACGAAGAATTAAGGAAAAGAAATGCAACATAAATTGAAGAAAAATATGTTTGGATCAATTTTTCAATCCTATTATTTGTAATAAATCGAAAAAAAAAATAATCTAGTTTTAGTAAAATATGAAATGTAATTTCGAATAAATCATAACATTTATACTAGAATATTTCCTTTGTAAGCCTCTTTAGACGCATCAAAATAAAAACACTTAAAAAAACACCAATATGTTGATTATATTCTTTCTAAATTCTACATCATTGTGTTGTATGAAATAAATGCATCACATTTTTTATCTTTATTTGTACGAAGTATCGCAATTCATCTTTAACTCTTGTTATTTCATAAATAATATTTTGTCAGTAGGTATATTGACTTGTATACTTTGTTCCATTGTCCAATAATAGCGATTATTAGAGTCGAGATAAGAGAAACAAATACATGATTCATACTACGAGATGAAATAACATATCATATGATGAGAAAACACAATTCGTTCCATCTTATATCATGGCATATTCTGTACAGTTAAAAGTCTTTTCTCCTTTGAATTGATTGTTATGACATTGGTTTCTACTCATTTTTTCTTTATTTTTACTTCGAATAATTGAAATTCGTTCGAATAAATAATCTGATTTCTAATTATGGATGTTGAAAACAGATAAAAAATTTTTCTCAACTAAAAAAACATCTCTAATCTTTCTTTTATAGAACTGAATATCGATATGGTATTATGGAATTTACAATCGGTTCATCGGTTGATGTCAAAGATTGGAAAGCAATTGAAATAAGACTTGAAATCAATCCATGTATATAAAGGATATCCTATAATAACTGATGAGAAATTATTTTTCATATTTTTCATATGTTTTCTTGATTTAGAGAGCTAAAATTTTTATCATTTATATATCTAATCATGTTCTTCTATTTCTGAAAGTTTCGGTTCTCCAGCTAAAACTAGTCGTGAAATTCATCGACACGATTGAAACACATCAATTTTCATACTTGACTTTTGCAATATTTTGAATTTCACATGTATCTCAACTTAAGAAAATAATAAAGTTTTGAATTCTTTTGAAAGATGCGCCATCGAAAGCTCTACAAAAACTGTATAAATAAATCTTTATTGCAAAATAAAGAAAAAATTGTCCAAAACTTTTTATTCTGCTCAACATGATGGGACATTGCTTTATCATACAAATTGTTCATTTTGAGTATGGAAAAAATCATTACAGCAAGTCAGTAGGAATGTCTTTAGGTAATTTTTGTAGAGGGTGTGGGTGTAGGTATGGGGTGTGGGAGACATGGCATCTCTTAAAGAGATGTGATGAGAGATACGATATCTCTTGTAGAGATGTGATATCTCCCTAAGGAGATGCATCTCCAGCATCATCCGGAGGCTAAAATTAAACGAACATTTTTC